TCATGTGAAAAATTGAAGTTCAGAGAAAAATATTCATGATTATTAAGATATTAAATTGAAATAAGAACGACAAATTTAAATAAAATTAAAATAAAAGGTGATAATTATGTGAAAATTAGTGAAAAATGGAAAAAAAATCATTACCAATTCTTTAAAATTAGGTTTGCTTGGCGGATTGTGTGATTTTCTTGGTCTTTACTGTGAACCCAGTGGATAAATTAATTAATAAGTGTGAGGCGAAAGCCATTGAGGTAATTATTAAAGTGGCTAAATTCTTTTAAGCCAAATATTAAAATCATTATTTCTTGGATAGGCCAGCCACGTTTACACACGACAGCGCAACAACAAAAAATAGCGCTATCTCTTGGGTGACGACCAAACCGATCACAGACATTATCCCGGTATTGAGTAAGGTAGGAAAATATAATTTCCCAACTTTTTATAACACCAGTATATCTGTCCCACCGCCATCTACGGGACAGTGGCTATACAAGCATTCCACGTGATCTCGGTTCAGCACCACTTTATTCCTACAAAGAAGAAATTGACTGTGCTAATGATCCAAGACACAATAGGATCCACACATATTTCGACAAATTGTCCTAATCTTACAGTGTTTCCAAGGTGGAAAATTTATGCCCATTACCAAGATTGGTGCAAAAAAGAGAAAAGCCTGGAAACAAAATTCTATGTGATGCAAAGAGTAAAAATTAACGAATAAGAGGCCGGCGTCACTATTATTACCAAAATTTTCATTTTTTAACGATCTTTATTGACCTATTATTAATTTTTTTTATATTTAAAATCTAATATTTTGATTCCTATTTAAGCTTATTTCTTTGTATTGACTTATTGTATTGGTATTATTATTTATGTTTATTTGTTTATTACATGTCTAAATTTTCTTTTTTTTCAGCATTCTCAAAGCTTTGTTTCAGTATAGTTTTTTTTTATTTTGTTCCCCATTAAATTTCTTCGCAACAGAGCTCTTTTGTCGAGGTTATTAGGGTGGGTTTGAAGTGTTAAAAGTATATAGAAAAAAAACCACATTCACTGTGGATTCGAAAAATTTGCTTTGCGAGTGTAACTTAATTCTTGTCTATTAATATTCATGGAATTAGACATGAAATAAACCTCTTTTCTTGAGGTAAAAGATTTATGGTCAAAAGACCTTTCGATTATTTTGTTTAATTTGGCAAATAGCCGTTAAAATTTAAAATTTCCTAATAACCGTTTAGCGGAAATAAAACAATATTTAAATTTTTGTTTCATAATTTTTTTCATATAAATATTTATTGTATTATTGTTGTAAGTTTTTTTATTAAGTTTAAACGACCTTTTTGTTAGAATTAGTAATTCTTTTATATAATAATAAATATGATTTGAATGTTTGTTAAGTTTAAAAATGATGATGTGTTAAGTTAGCTAAAGAGGAATTAAGGACGAGGTAAGTGATGGATGTGGGCGGTTTGTGGGGTCAGTAAGGTAAAGAAGAGGAGGTACTGATCATGGTTGGGTGGGCAGAATATTGGTCATCGGTTGGGGGTCCAGTATAGGAGGTGATGCATCATTTTGTTAATGTAGTATTCAGTGTTGTGTCTTTATTTTAATTGCTGCATGTCAGGAGTAGGGGTGACGGGTTGGGACCACACCCAGAGAGGCGACCAAGCTAGTCGGAGCCCATATGGACATGACCCCCCTACTACAGCGCATGTAACAACACATATGAAAATGCTGGGAATATCGAGTTATTCCTTGATGAAAGATTTGCTTTCTCAAACTTTCCCAGCAGGCAGATTGAGTAAATTGAATACAGGAGCAAATTTAATAAAGAACAATTTTATATTGTATGCGTTCCCAATTTTCCTGTTGGGTGATTTTTAAAAACATAATTTGTCAAATTCATATTGACACAAGTATTATGTTGGAATCAAATCAGCTGGGATTTGCTGTTACCTTTTATAATTGTACCATGCTTTGCTCCATACAGTTCCTTTGCTTCAAATAGTTCAAAAAAGGAACTAGATCAGAGAAAGGAACTATATTAATTAAAGAGCTGGAACTAGTTCCGATCGTTCCTTTCTCGGAATAGTTCCAATGAACTAGTTCGTTCCGGAACTACTCAACTTAAGCGTTTATCTATCCCTAGCATAAACAAGCGGCATTATTTGACAATCGTGTGTATGCAAAAAAAAATCGGAGTAAAAGTTACACATTTTAAAAAGAAAATAATAATTAAAAACCTTTAAAACATAGTCACACAATGAGTTCCGGCAACATGCTATACGGTGGTGATGAAATTGGTGCATTAGTTTTTGATCCTGGCCATCATTCGCTGAGAGTGGGTTATGCCCAAGAGGATACACCAAAAGCCGAAATACCCTCTGTTGTGGGAGTTGGACCAAGTGCACCGGATACAAATATGGATTTGGAGACAAAAACTGATAATAATGTTACACAGAATAGTAAGTATTGGACTTAGGGTAGTCCTTTCAGATATAAGAATACACATTTTCTTTCATTTTTACAGATGCTCCATCGCATAAGTATTATGTGGATACCACGTATATAAATGTACCACGTTCCCAAATGGAAATTCAAACATATATGAAGGATGGCATGATTGACAATTGGGATCTATTCGAAAAGGTTATAGATTATGCCTATGCCAAGGTAATACAATCGGAACCCGAATATCATCCCGTATTGTTTTCCGAGGCATCGTGGAATGTACGCAACAATCGTGAAAAACTAACCGAGCTGATGTTTGAAAAATACAATGTACCGGCTTTCTTTTTGGTAAAAAATGCAGTGTTGGCTGCATTTGCCAGTGGACGTGCCACTGCCTTGGTGGTAGATAGTGGTGCAACACATACCTCTGCTGTTCCCGTTCACGAAGGTTATGTACTATCCCAGGCGGTGGTTAAATCTCCTTTAGGTGGTGATTACCTATCGATGCAATGTCGCCAACATTTGGAAAAAATTGGTATTGATTTAACACCCTCATATCAAATAGCTTCCAAAGATGTCGTCAAAGAACGGGATAATCCACGTTTTACAACACGTAAAATCCCCGATAATTTAACACAATCATGGCAGAATTATATGCAGAAATTATTATTGCAAGATTTCCAAATGAATATTTTACAAGTATTGGAAAATCCCTATGACGAACGAGTGGCTTCCCAAATACCCACCGTACACTACGAATTTCCAACGGGCTATCATCAAGAATTCGGTTCAGAACGTTTTAAATTGGCCGAAAGTTTGTTTGATCATGCACCGCTGGGTGCGGGTCAATTGGCGTCGACAAGTGTTGGTATGTGTGATGCTGATGTACGTTTATCGCTGTATGGTTCTGTTGTGGTGACGGGTAAGTTTTGTAAATCTGTTTTATACTTTTTATTAATATATATTTATTTTAATTCGAGAGAGAAATGTTCAGGGAGAATAGGGAGATATTTGGAGTTGTATAAAATGTTGTAAATGGGGGTTCAGGGTATGCCGAATTATCACTGGTTCCCATAAAAAGTTTTCAAAAAGAAATACTTTGATTCACAGTATTTTAAAGTTAAGTTTATCTGCCTTCATTTTGATTTGATTAGCTTGAAAATTCCAATTCTAAAACCAATCAACTTCCCTATCAAGGAGGCAATATTACTGAAAAAATAGTCCAAATATTTCCCATTCTGAAATCAACAAATGTTCACCTGTAATAAATGGGTAATTAATTTTTCTTTTATGGCAGATGAATTTCTTATCCAACCAGAAATACGAACTTTAGGCAGTTTTTTAACAATTCTAAAATCCGAATATCTTCTAAAATTACCAAAAATTGGGGTTACTATTCATTAGGCGCTTTATTTAACCATGGGCCCATATTGAATTTTTTAGTAGACGAATTTTCTATCCTGTCAGTATTGAAAAAATATCAATTTAGTAGAAAAGTACTGAAAATTGTTAAATATATGTGTGTGGAACTTCCATCTGAGGAAAAGATATTCGCACTAAACCGACAGCTACACTGCCCACAACTTGGACGGTTCAAATGAAGCACCCAAAGAACATAATGGTCGATGTAGAACAGATCCCGACACCAATTACTCTTTAACGTTCGATTGTCTTTTCGTGATATCTGTGAAAGACAGGTTAAAAAAATCTTGGTCACCTCCTGCAAAGGACAGCAAGTGGACATGAGGAGTGGAATTCAAACCCGACATTGGCTGCTATTTTTGGGATCACGACTGCCATTGCTTTATGGATGGGATTTCCCGTGAATATCGAGATCAAGAGCGCTAAACGATGCTGATCTTTAACCCGAATAATGGATCTTACTTTTAAAGAGAGTTACAAACGCTAGCACATTATTGGCCGATGCAGACGCTTGGCGACAATTAATGCCCAATTTTTTATTTTGCCAGTCCTGATCAAGTGGGACAAAGTTATTTTCTGATCGGAACTCCAACCCCCTAATCACATAGTTTATTCACACTCAATAAATACATTATTGATTCCTTCGTTAAAACAATCCTTCCAATTTTACAGGTGGCAACACATTATTACAAGGCTTTCCGGAACGATTAAATCGTGATCTGCAGCTGCGAGCTCCATCCAATACTCGACTGAAAATGATTTCGGCAAATGGTAGTGTTGAGCGACGATTCGGTGCCTGGATTGGTGGCTCAATATTGGCATCCATTGGTACATTCCAACAAATGTGGATATCTTCTCAGGAATATGAAGAATCGGGTAAAAGTCAAGTGGAAAGGAAATGTCCTTAAAAATAGCTTAAGAAATGCCAACAACAACACAAGACAAGAAAACAAAAACAATGATTAAATGTTTGGGGGGTAGATTTTTTCTAATAAACAAAGACACGAAATAAACTGGGATATATAAAATACACAATAGTTTTTTCTTTAATTTTTGGATCTTTGGAAATATTTATTTCATAGGAAAAATAAATGCATAAAACATTAACTGGACAAAACAGAGAGATTTCACATTTGGCAACTATTTTCACTTGCCACCCATGGTGTTGTTAACAACACATTGCTAAAAGTAATACAAAAAGAAATGAAATTATTTTTCTACACATATTTTCTTTTAAAATACCACAAACCTTTGCCTCTGTAATGGCTTCAGACCAATCCTCGGCCGCGACTTTAACCACGGCCTTCACCAATATCTGTTTGACTTTTTCAACATTCTCCGAGAATGTTTTCAAAACATCTTGTACATTGACACTCTCACAACCCTCACGCCAACAATCATAATCTGTAGCTATTGCAACAGCAGCATACATTAAACCAGCCTCTTTAGCCAACACAACTTCAGGGCATGTTGTCATATTGATAAGATCGCCGCCCCATTGACGGAACATATTACTTTCGGCACGTGATGAAAATCTTGGCCCCTCAATTGTCACCATTGTGGCCTTATCGTGAACATTGAAACCCAATTCTTTGACAGTTTGCAATAGAATTTGTCTACAACGTTCATTAAATGCTGGATACATGGGCAGATGGCAAACCCCCTGAGGACTATCCGCCGCACCATCATGGAATGTTTGACAACGCTTTGTTGTGCGATCAATAAAATCATTGGGTATAACCAATGTGCCGGGTTTAATTTCTTCACGCAATGACCCGCATGCAGTGGACACCAACAGATGTGTACAACCAGCCTGTTTTAGGGCCCAAACATTAGCACGATAATTCACATTGGAGGGCATAATATTGTGTTTACGTCCATGTCGCGCCAATAGTACACATTTGACACCTTGAATTTCACCTTCGATAAGGACATCCGATGGATTACCGTATGGTGTTGTAACAGTTGTTTTGCGACGATTTTCCAAAATATCTGGATCATCTAAACCGGAACCACCAATAATACCAATCTGAAATTATACATAAGTATATAAAAATATATTTGTTTATACTGAACATATATACAATGAAATACTATATAGGTCACCTCATCCTAGTAGGTGCCTTCCCACATAAGGTCCATTATTTTTATGTGGACTCGTGCGAATTAGTATATACAGTGAACTATCCAATGCAGTGAACCCTCGAAAATCTGAACTAATTAATGACGTCGTAGTTCATATTTTCGAATTTGTTCACATTTTCGATTCGACCAGCTTATTTACCGCTAAATCCCTATTTATTTAATACTTTAATGTTAATACTTTATCATCGAGAGTTCACTGTATAAGGGTCATAACTAGGTGAATACATGACTCTACCTTTAACGTTCCGGTTTCCAAATAGGTTAAAAAGTTCATAATAGCCTTGTCATTCTGAGGGTTCAATTAGATCTCCAGATTTTTCATAACTCTCATCTATATAATTTGGTTCAACACTACGGTCTCTATTTGCCGGTAAGGCTCATGTTTATTTTTGCCGGTAGTTATATATGTATATAGTATGTCAGGTCGTATTCCCCAAAATGTAAATCGCGTGTCTAAAAACATACCTTGATTTGTTGTGCTGCCATCGTTTTTGTCCGACTGCCCGTCTAGTCTCTTGGAGTATTGAAATACAAATAAGTTCGACTAATACTTTGTAATCAGCTTCCTAAAATACTTCCGAATCTTCAAAATTTTCACAATTCTATTGCAAAAGTTCACAAAGTTTTGATAACCTATTACAGGGTTGCCAAAGTTTATATTTTGTAATCGGAAACGAGTGGCAACAATTCGTACAAAGACCTAGTCCCACAACAAAGCGTTCCATGTTATATTGGCTGAGCAGAGATGGGAACTTTGAGATATTTATTAAAAGAATACAGAATTCGTGGAATGGGCAACCATGACCGTATAATAAGGCGGAAACACATACGAGAGAATTTCAGACAAGTCTCTAATGGGGGAAACACATACGAGGATTCAGGCCTGGCCTATTAAGTTGGCTTTGTATGAAATGTCAATATATAAAGGAATATCATAGTCAAACTTGATTTTGGACGCTGTTCTCCTTTATTATTTTACAATAGAATAAGCCAACTTAACATTCCAAGCCTGAAGTCCAAATATGTCAAAGTTGGCATTCCTTAATCCAGAAACCATATTTTTATAGATATATGGCTCCTGAACCAAGGCGATGTCCACTTCAGAGCTCGTGAGCGCAAGAGTAGTTCGGCGGCGGCGGCTTTGCAGTGATGTTCATTAATCTGCTGGATGCGCAGCCTTTGTCGCTTACCTACTCTTATTGAAACCGAAACCGAACCCATCCTGAACCGAAGTTCAATTTTCCCTCACGCTCCTTAAGATAGCCGTCCCCAGATGGGTCAAAAGCTACTGCGGCAACCATCCCTCCTTCATCGTTACAAGGAGTTAGACTGACAAGAGTCCAAATAAAGGTAATGAGGTTGAGATTCTGCAGCGCCAACATTTTCGGCAGGAGCTCCTTGTCCACCGAAGATGTGGGAACCCAAGCTGAGAGGATCTGTCTGATTGGGATCTCAGATAAGGAGACCGCAACAATGTTGGCCCCTTCCCAGAGTGCGCCAAAGCCGTCAACAGTTCTTAAGAAGGAAATCTCTCGATTTCCTGTTCAAACTGTTTATTACTTTAGCACCACTCTGCATGAAGGCACTGCCAAACTTACGATCCCCTTGATCCGATCAGCAGACGATAGCCAATCGAAGGTCTGCTTCAAAAAGCAACCAGTGACTCTTACTAATCCTACCGTAAGGATCAGATTTGTCGATGATTGCCACTTGAAGGTCTTAGTCAGCAGTCACCTTGGTCGGTCTATCGTATGCAGAGCTCCGATTTGCTCGATTTTACTCGCGAGTGAAAAATACTCCCGAGCGGGAGTAAGTAAAGAGTACGAGTTTTTTAGGGAGTATACTCTCCACTCTTTTATTTTGTTTGGAAGTGCTCGCGAGTACTCCTTGTTGAAGAAAAAGAGTGTGAGAGAAAACGTTCGAAATAGAGTAAGAGTGAAATCGAGTGGACAAATAAATTTGGTTGTTTGGTTATTTGTGTGTGTGTGTAGTACCATTTTTTTTTTTTTTTTTGATGTTGATCTTTTGTTTGCTGTGGGGAGATAGATCATTACAAAAATGAAATGACTTACATAAAGAGAACGCAGAAAACGAGCTTGTTGATGCATGCTTTCCCAGCAGTACTGCAAACCAAACATCACAAAGCAAACAAACAATGCACACAAACAACATCAAGTAAAACAACGGTATCACAAAAAAAAAAAAAATTATAATAAAAGAGTACTCGGCAAGAGTGGCTTCCAGACAGGGCTCTGTCGATACGTCTATCACCCTTAAGGATTACAGTTAGATACGGCACGTTTGTAGTGCTTCGCATCGGATTCTTTTCGGCCAGTTCGGACCTTTGAATCCTTGTCCGTTGCTGGGGTCTGGATAGATTCCCCTAAATTTAACATAAGCTTATGTGATCGATTTTTTCATTTCTCTTCATATTGAAATTAAGGTCAGAAGTGTTATATCAAAAACTGTTTTTTTTTTTTTTTGAATAGCAAAATTACACCTTTTTTGGCAAACCGAAAATCGGCTTACGTATCCCTATTATTTAAGGAGAACTTATCTTTATTGTCTTATGACCCTCATTCGTAAACAATACCCGCCGCTCACTATTTTGTTTCACTTTGGATTTTTATCAGTCATTCTCTCCTATTTTCCTATATTCATAGCTTGTGGAACGTTTTTAAACTAGTTAGGTTTATTTAGGCTGAAAATTCTCAAAGAAAGTTTTATCGACTCCTGCAGATACAACATACAAATTGACATCTTATTCTACTCCCACAGTGTATTTCAAAAAATCCTTCCAAAATTCTGGGAACAACATCCAACATGGTGGGTGGTGACGGCGGGCGTGGCATTCAAGTTCTCAACATTTCCAATGTCAATGCCCAGGGTAAAACAGTGCTCAACGATGGCAAACTTCTGGAACTGATACAACAATATCCCTTCATCTACAATCCTCGAGTGAGGTCATATGGTGATCCTGATTACTCCATGTGGGCATGGAAACGTATTAATGCCGCCTTTAATCGCAGCTATGAAAATGATCCTTTCGCTGCCTTTTCCATCACCGATTTAATTAACCGATGGCAAGTTCTGAAACCCCTTATACAATGTCTCAGTAAGGCCTACGACCTGCAGGCCATACCCAGCTCACTGCGACAATCAGTATTACACATCAATACCGAATTGGAAGATCCACGATCGAATTGTCATCAAAAACCCAATACACCGGTACAAAATCTTCTGCAAGACTATATGCCGGAAATTGCAAAATTACCGCTGGATAAGCGTTTGGCTTTGGAAAAAGATGTGTTGCAGGTTTTGTTTAAGGCGGAAGTGGATAGCAAACAAATCAAAAAGTTAGATGCAACTGAAACGCGTCAGGCCAACCAGGAAGCTGATGAACTACTCAAAGATATTGGATTCAAGCCGGTATTCGAGAGGGCATGGAGGCAAAGAAGACTTATGAATAGCAACAGTGATGGTGGTGGTGCTGCTGCAGCTCCTGCTGCTAAAAGGGTCTATGGTGTTCAGCGCCCCAAATGGGTACATTTGTCGGATGCCCATAAACACACGCGACGCTGTTATGTTAATATTAAGCGAATGAATTTAGAAGATTATCTGCCATTGGCACAAATTAAGAAGTTCTATAGTAAGAGATAGTTGAGAATGAGGAGGTGGAGGAGATATATTATCATGTAAAAGCAGAGACTTTTGAAAAAGTTATGGGATCTGCATCATTAGTATAGCAACAACATATACATATGCATCATCCTAGCTTCCTTATCGAAATTTCAAAAATATGCATTTTCAAGTATCATAAACTAAATTGGCTAATTTTGTTGCATTACATTATTAACATAAGTGGAAATTTATAAATAAATAGATTTAAGTTTTTAGTTTCTTAAGTTATGTATAAGAGAATTTGCCGCCGAATAAAAGTGGCTACAGAGAATGCCAAAAAAAAGATTTTTTAAAATTTAAAATAAATAAAATTTGATTGACGCTGCAGTCAGATAGCCTTAATTATGATCCCGTAGATATATGTGACCAGTCCATAGAATTTGTTGATGTAGACACTCAAGTAAGCTAAGCGGACAGATTTCGTAGAGTAATATCTTATTCAAAATCTATAGGTAGTGTTATAGATAAAGTGTTGGTCACTCTGCCGGGGATTAATAGGGTTTGTCTGATTTTATCGCATATACCAAGTCTATGGAAAGAGGTAACGGTGACTTTCATCCATGAAATGTCGAGTCATACGCTACCTAAGGACTATATACCAATTAGCCTTTTTACTTAAGACTCTGGAAAGGTTAAAGACTCTGAAATTAGGAACATTTTAAATCCAAATAAAATTATCAAATTCCAGCATGCTTATATCAAAGACAAATCGGTGGACACTGCCTTAATTGATGGGTCGGGCAAATCGAGAACTCCGATTACACATTGGCTGCGTTTCTTGACTTGAAGGAGCCTTTAACAATGTGAAGCTGGAACCTATGCATTCAGTTCTCGATAGTTCAGGAAAGCAGAATTATCATTTCATCCATTGGAGAGAGTTCCGTGAGGAAACTGATGATCGATGAGATCCTTCTGAAATTCGATCACCTTAGAATAAATGTTGTAGAATATGCCGATGATGTAGTCCTGTTAATCGGTGGACAATTTCTGCCAACTATTTCTGACATCATGCAGGGTGCCTTATTGACTCTGTCCAACTGGGCACACGCCAATGGACTTGGCGTAAAACCCACGAAGACAGAAATGGTACTCTTCACCTTGGTACATTCAGTCCTTGACCACAAACTAACATGGTAAAGGAATGCTGAGGCTGTATGTAACGGTTGTACTACAATTTGTGACCTTCTAGAGATGACTTTAACGACATTAGAGTAAAGCTTCTTAGTAGGGAATCCTGGGCAAGAGGCTCCTCACATCTGGCCGGTCTATCAATAGTTACAGACCGGCCAGAGTCGAAGATGGAGGAAAGTACTGGTGCAGGTGTTTTTTGCAAGGAACTAGCCATCTACAATTCATATGAACCTAACGATCTTTGTAACGTTTTTCAGCACGAAAGCGGCTGAGATAGTCAAAACACCTACCGCTCCACCTAGTCAGGCGGCCCTTTAGGCATTAAAGTCATGTACTCTTAACTCAAAAGCGGTTCGTGATTGCAAGCATGCTTTGATATTCGACGGATGGATAAATTATGTTGGGTTCCAGGAAATGAAAACATAGAAGGGAATAAGATAGCCGATGATCTCCTGTAAAATTTCAAATTTGAGAGTTACTTTTTTTGGGCGAATATGTCCGTCCGTCTGTTGTAATCTTCTGAAGGAATTGAGATAGATCGTAAACATTTTGCATATAGTCGTATTTTGTTTGCAGGCAGGTCAAGTTCGAAGATGGGCAATATCGGTCCACGTTTAGGCATATGCACATATAACCCATATAACCCCCTTCTTATATTAAAATAGTTAGCTGATTAGTTCCGTATGTAGGGGTTGTCCCCATATAGGCGTATTCTACCATAGTATAGGGCATAGTTGTTTCTCGAAATAGTCAGTTTTAACCTACAAATTATGGAATTCTAAGACGATTTAGCCATCGGTTGTAATCATTCGGTTTTCTATAGAAATCGTGAGCAAATAACCTGACGATAATGAAATATATTGGCCATAATTTAGACATCTCCCCCCATATAATTATACATTCTGAAGGAAAGAATTTAGACACAAAACAATCATCTTGGGTTCGAAATTGACATATGTATGTCGGTCATTAATTAGGCATAGCCCTCATAATATTCGCTAATTCCTACACTATGTAATCTAACATTGTAATCTAAATTGCAGTAGTTTCAGGATTGTATATTCTACCATACGTTATTAGTATCAGTCCACGCTTTAAGGTTTTCATTAAAAATTCCTGATATTTGTATTTGGTGTACACAATGGTTTACATACACCAGTTTGTAGAATTATCGATATAGGTTCACTTTTTGGTATGTTCCCTATATTTTCATTTCAAGCATCTGTCAGTATACCTATGGTGGAGGGTATACAAACGCTTTTCATTATTATTATTATAAATTAAATACCATTTATTTGTACATTATTGTATTATAAATTAGATTTATTTATTTTTTTGTTTATAACAATGCTGCATTAATGTTTTTTTATTATTATTTTCTTTTAATTGTAACATTTTCTTTATTTATTTATTTTTTTGTTATTTTATATAGTAGTTCAGTTTTATTTTATTGCAGTAAAAATGCACCATACTAAAAAAGTCAATAACCAAAATAAATAAATAAAAATAATTACATAATATTTTTAAGTAAAAAATAAAAACAAAAACAACAATTTTATTACAGCGGCAGCTGGCAGCATGAATTTAATTTTATTTCGTATCGTTTATTTATTTTTTTTCGTATATCGTTATTATTTTGTTATTATATACATTAAATGTTATTTAAATATAAATATTATGAGGCATGTAAGGATTTTTATTTATTTTTAATATGACAAATTGCATTGTTGTAGTTGGTTTTTTTTTTATTTTATTATAAGATTCATATTAGAGAATATATGATCGATATTTTTGGGGTTGGTTAATGTTAATAATTTTGAAAAAAAAAAAAATATGTTGGTGTAAAGTAACAGCATTGAAATGACTCATTACATATGATTCGAATAATCATATCGCTCATTTGCTGTAAGAGAGGCATAACTCAAAAATGTGTTTTTCGAGTTAATTAATGCATGATTGTTCGCTATAATAGACCTCATATTGTGTAAAAAATTCATATGAATATCTCTTACATACTCTAATTTAGAAGCTGTCCCATATAAAGTGTGAGTGAATTGAAAACTTAAAACGAATTTTCTGCGAAATCGTGTTTTTTGAGTTATGCCTATCATGCAGCAAATGAGCGATATGACCAACACAAATTAGTTCGCTACTCCATTTAAGGGAGGGAGGTGGTGATATGGAGGAAATTTCCACAAAAAATGTATATCTCGTCAAAATTTCCGACAACCAAAAGTGCCAAATTCATAGAAGAAAAAAACACGTATCGGTGTTCAATGCAGAAACCCATTGATCTTCGAAGGAGTCTGCAAAATCATCGATTTTTGTATCACAAAGGTAAGGTGGTGTTAAAATCGAAACATAAAAAGCTCGAAAGCTTGTCTCATCTTTAGAACCCAGAACCAGGATAATGAAGGAACTTAATGGAGCTGTGAATAATCTAACGGACGTCCTTCTCTGCTGCATAGGAAATCCTGTCCGCTAACATACCCAGTGTGGTGGAAAAGGTAACTCAGTGAGCTCAGGGCGCATAAATCAAAACTCGATATTAACTGGAACTCCTATAATGTAAGTTTTAACAAATATAAGAGTGAGACTAAGCGTGCCAAGAAAAAGTTTTGGATTAATGTCGATAGAAGGAATCAACGAAGCTGCTAGGTTTCGAAGATTACTATCCAAGGATCCGAAATCCATCTTAACCTCTTAGAAGAAACCCATTCCCCAAGTTGCAAAGATGTGGATACTACCAACATTGATTGTGATGACATTCAACCTCTTGCGACTATAGATTTGGTTCTTCAATTTGCCTGGCCAAGTATATATCTGACCCTTGAAAAGTGCTTGACTCTCTCGTGCGTTCCGGGTCTATGGAACGAATTAAAGGTTACTTACATTCCCAAAGCGGGTAAACCATGTCACTCTGCACCAAAGAATCCCATTAGCCTAACATCCTTTCTCCTCAAGACTCTCGAAAGATTGATCGACCTGGAGATCGCATCACGCATATATAAAAGGCAAGTCTGTGGAATCTGCACTGCATGAGGTGGTAAGTTATATTGAGAGGAATATGGAAAATTCGAACTTTACGTCGGACGCCTTTCAATAACATTAAACTTGAGTCCGTAAACCACTCACTTAAAAAGTTAGCATTCCTGAAACCCTTACTTGTTGGATAGATAAAATGCTAAATAGCAGAATTATAAATTCAAATGTAGGAGATACGAAAATCAGGAGAATAGTAAGAAGAGGTGCTCCTCAGGGCGGGGTGCTCTCACCGTTGCTATGACTATTGGTAATCAACAATATTCTGATGGAACTGGACGGGAAACGTATAAAAGTCGTAGACTATGAGGACGATATTGATTTCCGGAAAATTTCCGTCAACAACATCGGAGCTTATGCAAGAGCCTTGAAATAAATCCAACAAAGACAGAACTGGTAATGTTCACTAGGAAACGTAAGCTCGGCGTCTTTGCTCCACCAACACTGGATGGAGTGCAGCTTCATCTGTCACCCAAATCAAAATACCTTGGCACATTCCTGGACAGTCTGTTACGATGGAATATGAACGCCGATCAACGGGCGAAGAGAGGGCAGATTGCACTCTATGCATGCAAGAACTCCATTGGGAAAAGCTGGGGGCTAAATCCATCGATCATACACTGGTTGTATAACACGGTGGTAAGGCCCATCCTTTCCTATTGTTCTCTTATTAGGTGGTGTGTGCTTGCGACACAAGTTGACATCCAGCAAACTACACAAGGTATAAAGTGTCAGGCAGCGCCTAGGGCTCTAAGGCTGCATGAGCAAAATCTATGGCGAAATTCTGCTTATGGACGGACATGGATGTATCCTGAAAGGCTAGGCCTTGAGCTTACCTACATGTTGGATAGCAACTGTAGTATTTTCCAAGCAGAAATCTTCGCTATTTGGAATGCAGCAGAATTGATAAAAAAACGGGCCAATTTCTTTTGGGATTTCTACACACAAAAATATGAAAAACAAAACATTTTTAAAACATTTAAATAAAAACAAAAAAAATCCATTATTTCTCATTTTTTTACGAAAACTATTAATAAATAATTAATTTCGTTTAAATCTTTTTGTTTATAACTTAAATAAAATACAAGTATTTTACTAATAATATTAAAAAAAATGTTCGCTAATATTACAACCTCGGCAACATCATAATTTTTGTTTTTTTTTTCTTTTTTTCAGCAGTAAAGCGTCTATACTTCATAATTTTCATTTCTTGATTGTTTTTTTGTTTTCGATAATATTGTACAATGTTCACTTTACTAATTAACATAATTTAATTTAATAAAAATTAAAAGATATACAAACGCACAATGATGTAAAGCAAATAATTAAATAATAATAATTTATAAAATAAAAAAATAACATAACAAAAAATATATATTTATGTACTCATGTATGTATGTGTATATAGCAGGAACGAAAAGGTAGATAGAGGATGTATATGTTGTTGTTGTTGTGGTTGATAATAATAAATAAGGTACTTTTAACAAAAACTGATAATTGGATTTGTGATCGATCTTCTGTCGTCTTCTATTTAACATCTGCTTTACTCTTCTAAAACAATTGATCGGCTAAAGTACCTATAAATGTGGCTAAGTTCATGGCAGAGCCTTCTTTAAACTTGAGGCCAACAGTTTTTCCATACGCCTGTATGAAAATCGCACGAACGGCATTTAAACGTTTTTTACGCCTGAAAAAAAAACAAATACGATAAATAATTAAAAAATGCATTAAAAATTCGAATTGTTTTTATTTATTTGAATTTTGCCTGTAACGGCCATGAGTTTTAAGTTAATTTTTTTCTCTTTCGAGTCGAGCTCAATGATCAAAATTTTGCAATGAAAAGGAAAGCCAGGAGAAGAACCCACGCACCCTAATGGTGGGTGCGACGCGTTTCGCCGTTGGTTAAGCAACTCATCAGGCATATTGGGCAAAGGTCGTATGTTGCTAACGTGTGTTTATATAACAGTTGATGCGAAATTGCATCTGCGAATTAAATTCAAATTGGTCATGGTTCAACATTTGTCTACACTCTAGAAACAGTCCTTTTTCAAAATAGATTTTTGTTGTAGCCATGGGTAATTAATCCACACACCTATAATTGCTTCCATAGAATACACATAAACAAAATCTTTGGCGAATTTATTCCTAGTAGAGATAACTGGAACCATAGTAATCCTCCTCTGGACGGTCTGGCAAGATGGAAGAAAGTCTGGCGTCTACTGTGAAAGACTAGGCCTTGAGTTAACCTACAAGCTGAATTACAATTGCAGTTTTTTCCAAGCTGAAATCTTCGAGATTTGGAAGGCAGCGGAATTGATAACAAGTCTGGATATAGAGGTCGTTGAACCGGTGGCTATCTTCGTGGATAGTAAAGCGGCTCTTAAAGACATCAAATCTTGTTATATCAAATCTGAGGCCGTCCTCAAGTGTAGAGCAGCTTTGGAAGAACTTACTTACAGCTACCGGCTGTGTTGGGTACCATGACACCGTGACATCTTGGGTAATGCATGAGCAGAAGAATTAGCTAGACGAGGATCTCAATCCACAGATCTAGCAATTGATGACTCACTCAAATCACCCATATGTCATCTTTACCAGAACTTTGAGGCGTTCTTTGACGAAAGAGCCTATGAACTTTGGCACAACGAACATAGGTGCAGCAATGTGTCAAGATCCATTTTGCCGACTCTGTCTATTAAAAGGACACACTCACTGTTGAACCTGAGCAAAGCTGAAATGAGAGTAATGACAAGAATTACTGGTCATTGCAATATCAGGTCCTTTTTTATATGCCTTTTGCGCTGGGGCATCCTCATCCATTCTCACAACATGATCTAGCCAACGTAGTCGCTGCAACTTGAATCGTCTGACAATGTCGATGTCCGAGAATATATACCGTAGAAAGGTTCAAAGGTAGCTGTTACCTCTTGCACGCATTATGTCGATGTCATCGGCGTAGGCGAGTAACATGTGTTGTTTGGTGTACAGACTGCCATTTCTGTTCACCTTTGCCTCTCGTATGACCTTTTCCAGCAGAATATGGAAAATATCACACACACATTGTCACCTTGTCTGAATCCTTGTTCAGTATTAAAGGGTTCCAAAAGTTTTTTCCGACTTTAAGTGCTGACCTTATGCCAGTTAAAGTTTTCCTACGTAGGCGTATATAATATTGCAGGTATGCCAAACGCGGACATGACTTTAAACACCTCTGAACGGATAGGGCTGTGGAATGCGGACGAGCAGGTGAAATGTGTCGATGTGTTTTTCGTGGGTTGGCTTCAGCCGTTCACACAGTACGCTGTATAGAACTTTATATGCGATGGGAAGAGATTTATTTCTCGCGAGATCACCCATAAGAACTATAAAAAAAGGGTTGAGGCGTCGGGATAGTTGCCCACACTCGGATAACCCCTCCTACTATGAAAAATCTACGAAAATGAAAACCAAACACCCTTATTGTCCTTTAAACATCACGAGAGTGATAAAACGAATCCAAGTACCACCACAGTTTACGATAGGTGATGCTGCAAGTGTCATTCGGAGCGCTAAATCATCTAAAGTGTTTGGCCGGACACAATATCGCCTGGAGATGTGCCTCGAGTCGGGCAACTTACAAAAGTTCTCAATTTACTGATAAGGACCCCAAACATGGATGAGCAGGGTGCTCCCGCCACTGAACAGACCGAGAAATGAACCAGAACAGACCATGTCATAGAACAGTGTTGGTGGCACTGGGCATATCAAAAGACATTTATGGGTCAGAAAGGTGTCTTAGATAGAGAGCTACAAAGATATAAACGAGACCCTCTAGATCATGAAACTTAAGTAATAGATCTGAATAGTATTACGTAATTGCAGACTGTAGGTCTGGTCTGTATGGAAACCACATGTATTTAAATATAGCAATTGGATTCTGAACATAAATATCAGGGATATTATGAAATCGAATAATAGAAAGAAAGTCTTTTGTGGAACAATACAGGATTTTATCGATACTTATGTCTAGTGCTGAAACCCGGCATTCAACTAAAATATGTGAAATGGATAAATACTCGTCGCAAAAGGAGCAAATAAATATATAACAATTGGTCTGTACAGAGACCACAGACCACAATTGGTATCTTTGTAGACATGTGGTCTATAAAGATACCAATTGGTCTATAAAAACCATTTGTTTTGTAAAAAAGATCCCAAGTATTTATAAAATTATAATTGTAGAGATTGCAATAAAATTATTCTGGAGGGAAATATGCTCAGGAAATCTTGTTAAATTCCCCCACAACACATCAGAATCAATAATAATCACAAGTAAATCCAAAATTAGTGTGGTATACTTACATTATTGTTGACGTTTTACTCGATCCGTTCAGCAGCAGGTCCTTATCGTTGTTGATACCACCACTGCCATTAGTTAGGAAATTAAGTGCACCACCATTATTTATACCGTTACTACTTAAACTGGCATTACTGCCATTGCTGGGCGTATTCGAATGACAGCTGTTATTGTAACCATTGCCCGGCGTACACCCACCGTTACCCCCCATCATTACATAATGACCACTGTTACCCGACGTAATTGAGATATTATCCGGCTGCTGTTGTTGGTGTTGTTGTTGTGATATAAAATGCATCATATAACTGCCATTCATCATGGAATCAATAGATCCCGTATCGGTAACAACTTGCCAGCTACCGTTTGATGATGTGGACTCTTGACGTTGACGTGTCGCACTAACGCCTGGCACTGATATAGGACTAGTTTTTGATCTGCAACAACAAGAAAAATTTCAATATTATATAAAATAAAATTGAAATTATTATTTCAAAGAGCAGTATTCTCCTCTTACCGTTTAGGATTCGGCGAACGACTTGTTAAAGGATTCATAACCATTTGTTGTTGTGCTGTTACTGAGGCGGAGTTTGGCATTGCTGCTGTCGTCGTCGTCGTTGTTGTTGCATAAAAATTATCCGTTATGGACATATCACAGTTGGAACTATTGGAAAAACTATCATTGCTGTCTTGATCGTAACCTAAGATAAAGTCTCTGCGAAAAAATGGAATAAAAAATAATAACGTATTAAATTGATTTTCCATTAGGGGGTGTTCTCCATACAGATCAATTGGTCTATAAAAAGACCTGTGGTCTCTACACACATCAATTGATCTTTATGAAGAACTGTGATCTCTATGCAGACCATTCTGTCTGTTTCGATTTGAACTTACTCTTTAAGTGGTTCATCATCACAGCAATCAGACTTAATAACAATAACACTACTACCGCTACTACTGGAGGTTTTCGTACGTTTCCTTAGGAAAAATAAAAAAGGACGATAAATTGAATAAATAAATCCCAAACATGTTTAATTTATTTTACTCACCTATGTTCTACAATACTAAATTCTTCATCGGTTATATATTTAAGCACATGAAAACAAAAGAACATTATATCTTCACCCCTTTTCAGGCGATCGGGTAGCTGATGGCCAAACAAATACCAGTCATAGGCCAATGTTAAATACGCCATCTGTAGCGCATTTAAATTCTGATGTATTAGACCGTCGGCCCACAACGACAGCCGGACAAGTGATATAAATAACGGTGTACGATCCCAGCCACTGATACAGTGTATTAGGAGACCGGAATTTTCTTCCTGGATATATTTGAGGCAGGCCTTTAGATAATTTTGTGTTATTTGCACCAAATCCCATTGTTTATAGTCATTCCAGTTAATATTCAAATCAGCTGTAGGACCAATTTTCGGTACACTGATAATGGCATCATTAAACGATTGTTTCCAATTGTAGTAGAGATTTTTCGCCATATAATTATTGTCACGAAATTTCTTAAAGAATTCACAGCCGGGATAGGGTAGCGATAATATATTGAATTCTTCGTAATGATTTTCGGGATCAGCTTTTTCCGATGATGAGACGCTGCAAATGAGAAAGAAAATGAGAAGAGATTTTTAATACAAAACAAGCGAAAAAGCGTAAGTTCTGCTGGGCCGAACTTTAGGTACCTTCCATCAAAGGTATACTGACAGATACTTGAAATGAAAAAAAGTACCCTGATAATTCTACACCACATTGTGTACACCAAATATAAATTTCAGTAATTTTTAATGAAAACCATGGCATGGTAGATTTAGATTACATAGCGTAGGAATTAGCGAATATTAGGGGTTATAATTATATGAAGGCTATGCCTAATTAATGACCGACATATGTCAATTTCGGAAGGTATAATTATATGGGGGGAGATGCGACTATATGGGGACAACCCCTACATACGGAACTAATCAGCTAACTGTTTTATTATAAGCAGGAGGTTATATGGGAACTACCCCTAAAATTGGGCGAATATTAATAATTTTTGGTAGGAAGATTTGTTACCATATGCGACTACAAAATACCAAATTACAGCGAATTCGGTTGAAAAACGCGCTCAAGAACCCCCAAATACTGAAAATTGGGGGACCTATATTTTAAATTTGTAGTGAAGAAATTTGGTACCCTATAAGAGCCCCTTGTACCAAATTTCAGCGAATTCGGTTGTAAAACGCGCTCAAGAACCTCAAAATACAATAAATTGGGGGGCTACCAGAAAAAGTGGACCGATATTTATAATTTGTAGTGAAAACATTTGGTACCCAAAAAGAACCCAATGTATTGAATTTCAGTGAATTCAGTTGAAAAACTTGCTCAAGAACCCCAAAATACCGATAATTGGGGGTGCCCTTATATGGGCGCTACCCGAAAAAATGGACCTATATTTATAATTTTTAGTGTAGAAATTTGGTATCCAATAGGAACCCATTGTACCAAATTACACCGAATTCGGTTGAAAAACGCGCTCAAGAACCCCAAAATACTGAAAATTGAGGGTGCGCTTCTATGGGGGTTACCCGAAAAAATGGACCTATATTTATAATTTTTACTGAAGAAATATGGCACCCAATAAGAATCCATTGTACCAAATTTCAGCGTATTCGGTTGACAAAACGCGTTTAAAACCACCCAAAATGCCGTAAATTGTGGGCACAGTTATATTGTGGCTACCAGAAAAAGTGGACCGATATTTATAATATTTAGGGGATTCATTTGATACCCAAAAAGAACCCAATGTACCAAATTTCAGCGAATTTGGTTGAAAAACGCGCTCAAGAACCACAGAATAGGGCGATAACCTTGTATGGGGACTATGCGTAAACGTGGACCGATATAGCCCATATTCGAGCTTGACCTGTCTTGACAAAAGACGACTCTATGCAAAATTTTGGCGATCTATTTTAATTCCTTCAGAAGTTACCGTGATTACAACAGACGGACGGACATTGCTAGATCGAATTTTACCTTGTTCAAGAATATATATACTTAACAGGGTCGGAAATGAATATTTTGATGTGTTACAAACGGAATGACAAAATTAATATACCCTCCATACTATGGTGGAGGGTATAAAAATTAATTAATAGGTATGAAAGAAAACTACTGGAAATATAGATTATATGGGGACTTCAAGATGGATCAGAGATTGTCTTCAGGTTTTATCACATAAAAATCAAATACAAATCCCTCATCTTAGGATGCTGCTCTGACTACCTGATATATCATTCGATTTGCATAGCGTACTCAATAAGGTCTAGAATGACGTACGTGAAGTTTCGTGAAAATCGGTTCAGATTTAGATAATGCTCCCATATATATTTTCGTCCGGTTTAAGGTAAATGGTGCGCCAAAGTTCCTAAATATCTTTCGATATGCACGAAATCTGGCATAGCGTACTGAATTAAGCGTGGAATAATGTGTGTCAAGTTTCGTTAATATCTGTTCAGATTTAGATATAGCTCCCATATATATTTTCGTCCGATTTGAGGTAAATGGTGCGCCAAAGTCCCTAAATATCTTTCGATATGCACGAATTTGGCATAGCGTACTAAATTGAGTCTATAATGATGTGTGCTAAGTTTCGATTTAGATTTAGATATTTATATTTTCGTCCGATTTGTTAGGAGACTATGTAGAATATACCCAAAGTGGTGAAGGGTATCATATAGTCGGCCCAGTCCGACTTTATTACTTTCCTTACTGTTTCTTTTTTTAGAAAAATAGGACCATAGAATTGAATTGTTTTCTTTAGACCAATCTCTCATCATGAACATTGATCCATGTAAATAAAACGGAGACATCGTCGCCGATTATTATTTTGTAATAAACAAGAACAAAAATAACAATAGCAACAGACATAACAAATAATAGCTCACAAATAGAAAACATATGAACACTTACGCCATAAAATATTTGATTTTCCTTTTCTCCACCATCAAATCGACTATTGTCGACACATTCAGTGCATTCAACAGCTGGATGTCACTCTTAATCACTTCATCGTACGAGAATGGCGAAGATTCATTCAAGGCATGATTCATCAAAGAATCTTCATTGTTATCGTTGTTCTCATCGTCGACAATATGATTCCCCCGATCACTGTAGTTGGTGCCGTTCAAACAGTCATAGGCATAGTCGACCACCTTGCGTCCATATGTTTCGGGCATTACGGATATGGTGGCCGATCGACAAATATATTTGCCGCGATACATAATGACTGGGACGGCAAAACGTTGACGACATCGTGCATATTTGGCCATAGTGATGAGTTCACGTATCTTATTGACGTCATACAAATCTTCGTAGATGGTGTGTTGATACGATGATGTGGTTGAGGTGGTGGTACCATTGCCACCACCATTTATCCCCATCAAATTAGTTGTGCCAGTTGTTGTTGCCGTCGCAGTCTGCATAAGATGGTGATGCTGTTGAGGATATTGCATTTGGGTTGGAAAATACGGATGTGCCAGAGGTGGTGGTGGTTGTGTTGGATTGCTGGAAACCCCATTATTGGTTGTAGTTTGTGACATTGCACCATTGGCAAATGTCACAAAGGCATGTATACCGTTATTGGTTGTTCCCATATTGAGAGCTGTCGCCGTCGATGAAGAAGACGATAACGTTGACGACATGGAACCATTACTGCTGGTGGTATTATGATGCTGCGACGATGGAGGCGGCGGCGACGGATAATGGAATCCATTTAGGCTGCTATTCTGTGGTGGTATTGCATTGTTATGTTGTGAGAATATATTCGTATTATTGGCGGTAATCGTTGATGCCATACTGCTGTGCCGATTGTGTTCATATTCCGGTATAAATATACGACCCGGATATCGTGGACTTAGGATACCATTTGTATTTTCAAGTTCGATTAGGGAATAGTCTTGTTTAAATAGGAATTCACATTTTTTCGTTATTTCTTCTTCCTGGAAAGAGAGGAAATAGAAGAGATGGAGGATGTTTATTAATAAATTGCAATTATAATCTAGAATGTTCAGAGTAAAATTTTCGGAACAAAAAGGGACTAGTTTTTTACCATTCTTTTCAGTACAAACTTATCTCTGCCCATATAAGGAAAGCCGGAATGTCTAAGAAAACAGTAAACGAAGTAAAAGTGAGTCTTTTGGGACTCTTGTTGCTGGGAAGAATTATCAACCTTTATTTTGCAGTTCTGCGTAAAAAAAATCCTATAATAAAGCCGGTAGACCAAGCATTTACAACGTGGGATATTTATATAAATGCAATCAGATTCCTAAGGAACATATCTAAGTAAATACTCTAGACTTATTCATAGATCGGGTATTAATTGTACTAAAAAAGATTTTAAAGGCCTGTCTGCATTTTTTATTTATACTTAGTCAATGGTATGGTCTAGGTTATGTTAGGGGATGTGCAGTAACTAACAGTGACTATTTCAGTCTCCTCCTTGTCATCACAGAGTCATGGTCCTATTTACTGGTAAAGGCCTGATATTTTAATGACCAGTAATGAAACCTCTCATTACTCTAATTTCAGATTTTCAGTGAGTTTTTTCTCTTGGCTGACAGAGTCTCCCAGATGGATCTTGACACATTGCACCTAGGTTCGTTATACCAAAGTTCATTGGCTCTTTAGTCGAAGAACGCCTCAAAATTTCGGAAAAGGTGACAGATTGTTGGTTTAGGTTTGGGGATGTGTAGTCACTAATGTGGCTGCAGCACTCTGAGACCGTCAGGTCGATTGTGATCATCCACGAAAAGAAAAATATATGGAGAGATCTATGGGGTAGAAAAAACAGGGAAATAGAGAGAGATGGGAAGAAGGTAATTATGAGATAATATCGATGGCTATAGAGATCGGACAGAAAATATATTACGAGTCAAGGTAAGCACAAAGACATAATACCCTATAACACATTGTGGTGAAGTGTTTTAAAAAATTAAATTTTAAATCTCTAAATATAATATGGAAAATTAAAAAAACAACAATTCTAATTAACATTTAATAATTACACAATTACAGTTCGTCACAGTTCCACGTGCACACATGGCAAACAACGTCAATACGGAAGTGCATGAATGAATGAAAACTAAACGAACGGAGAGATACGTTCAAATATTTTAATTAATGCATGTATATGCCATACTCTGTTTTGTACAGCAACATTTTCCTACATACCAATAAAAATGTATATTGTATGAAAAATTAATTAATACTTAAAACAGCAGCCAATGTCAACTATTAGTAAACGAGTGTTTTTGTGGGGAACCACCTCTCTGGAGAGACAATAAATGTCTGTTGTAAATACAACATCAAGATTTATTGCAAAATAATTTTTTCCCGGCTATTTTCATTGCAATGTGGCCTGTTGTTATTGTTGTCGTCGTTGTTATTATTGTCTGAACTCCAAACAATTAAGGTAAACAACAAAATATCGTCGTCGTCGTCGCATTTAATGATTTAAACGTGCAATGACATACAAAATGAATGAATTCATCGCCTACAACACAAAATGGAAAATAATAATGACAATCGACCAGCACTGATGACAATGACGACGACGTCATCTTTTAGCACATTGTTAAATGGCGCTCAAAAAAAAAAAAAATATATATATATATATATATATATACAAAATTACAGGTAAAGTAGCAAACAGATTCATTAACCAATTCAGATACACAATGACATTGACGAGGGTGTTATGGACAAAAATCAAAATTCAGGTTTGTACTGAGAATTACTTAATAAAACCTAAATTTCAAATTTAATTTTTAAGCCTTATTTTGAAAGCGTTATAATGTTAATAATAGTAATAAAATTAAATTTGTATTCATATGTTGGTGAAATATAATTATTACATAAAATTGATTAAAAATCCTTGCTCCCGGTTATACAACTTTGATGTGTATTTAAATCTCAATTTAACTTACAAACAAAACCAGTTAGGAAAGAAGTAAATTCGGACTGGGACGATAATATGATACCCTTCACCACTTCGGGTATATATGGATTCTAACAGACGTCGCCTTTTCGAAGGATCATAGACATGCAATTGAACGAACTTAAATATGTGATATTTATCTATAAGTGTTCGACACGAGGAAATGAAAGCAATCAATGCCTTCCTTCGGGGATCATAGCTGAATGCTAACGGACGCGTCCACAGGTTGAACAATCAGCGGGTTCAGGGAGAGAGTCTCGGAGGAAATGACGGAGTGCATATGATCCCTGAACTGACGAGGCGAGAATGGCGCCCGCCAAATACCCATCTCAGAAAGTCTGGGACACTACCTCTTAAAGTGACCGCCTAACGCAGGGTTGTCATGCGAACTTAGAACGGAGCCTTGTGCCTCAACAAGTTTATTCAGACTTAGTTGCCAAGTCCTTGCCATGGTCGTCCTCAATCCCTCATCAAAAGCACTTTCTATGTAGCCGAATATTAATAACCCCTCCACTTCTAAAAACAAAAACAACATAGTATGCGATTTTTCGACCGATGCTGGTGTGGCTGCCTTGGCACCTTAGTCTCGAACTTAACAAGGTCAGACTTCAATGAACCCCCACAAATGTTGACGACCAAGCTAATCCTCTGGACCTCTCTTTTGCCTCAGGCCCTTTTACTCTCTACTACGTGAGACAAGACGATATGTACCAACTATTGGACCATACCAATGCGGTTTCAGACGTGGCAATTCCCACCATAGACCAGATTTTCACACTGTGCTAAATCCGCAAAACTAATACGGCTAGGCAGGATAATTTTAACTGCCACAAGGTCAGCAGTTAAAGTCGGAAAAGACCTCTCGGAACCCTATCAATACCGAACGAGGATTCAGACAAGACAGTTTGTCTTGTGACCTTTTTAACATCCTGCTGAAAAAGGTCATACGAGGCAAAGGTGAACTGAAATGGAACTCAGTATAATGACATAATGGATCGAACATTGCGAGTAGTAACAGCTGATGGTATCAAAGCCAAGGTAAATATGGCGGATGCTACAATGGTCTGAGTAAGCAACGCAAAAGCAAGGCCGCCTCTCGCCAGACCAAACTCACACTCTACTGATACTACCCGTCCTGGTGTATGAATCAGAAGCCTGGGTTTTGCCCAAGCAGACGAAGCAGTTCTTGAAGTGTTTGAGAGAAAAATTCTCCGAAAGATCTACGGACCGATCTGCATCGACGGCGAATATCGGCGTCGAATGAACCACGAGCTATACCAGCTCAGAAGGCATATAAAAGCTCAAAAGGTTTATAAAATCGAGCCTACTGACGGTTTTAGCAGAATCAAGACTACGTATTCGATGGAAATATCAAGTGAAATTTCAAATTAGAAAAATTACGCACATGATCGACGCGCCTGGAAAAAATTTTTTTTTAGCTCTGCTTGTGGAACAAATGTTCTGTCTTGACCCAATTAAGTAATTAAAACATAATTTTTAACATAACAGCTGTACTACATTCGTTCCACTCTTTAAATCTGGATTAATTTTTTTCTTCTTCATCAATCTGAAGATCGGTCGGCTGTGCCCTCTCTGGCAAATTCATCCCGGAACCCAAAAAAAAATTATGGAAATGACATAAACCATTTTTTTTGATTATATACACATTTTCTATCTGAAGTTGATGTTATTTGGGTGCCGATCCGGGTCCCGATCAAAGATATCACAAATATTACTTTTATCGCCAAGGATGAAGAAGAGATTATCCCACCCTCTCTCTTATCTATGAATTGATGCTTCTGGGCATCTATCCGTGTCAAGGAAGTGTTTTGCAATCGAATTCGGAATGGAATGATTGCTGAATTCATTGAAGTCTGTCAGGTTGAACCCAATGTTATTAATATTTCTCTCTATATGTCCGATCATCTCATTCAAGATCTGTTTTGATTTCCAATGCACCTCATACTACCTTTTATGATACTGTAAAACAAATCGTATTAACCTGAATTATTACTCACCCCATGTAAAGTGTAAAGCATTAAAAACACAAACAAAAATAAATAAAATCAATGCATCATTTAAGTGTCTTAATGTAGTCGAACACGACACGATACCACACAACAAAACAATAATCGTCAATATTGAAAAAAAAATAAACATAAATAAAAATAACAACAGGGAAAAACAAAAAACTCAAGCTATAGCAGAATCGCGAAATACCTATACATTACAATTACAAGACTTCGAATGTAGTTGTAATAACAACAAACTGTGGCTATGCATGTCTCTATGTAGGTAGGTAGGTATGTATGTCTGCTGTGTAAATAAGTAAATTTACAACAATAACAATAAAATGTGCAATTTTCCCCCCTCCACCAACACAAACGAAAAAGAAACAACATTGTTGGAGAAGAGAAGAGGAGTGGAGGAGATTGTCGGGAGGTCGAGGCGATTACTTTGTTACATCAAGCCCCCAGAGAAGAGTGAGTGGTGTGTGTCGTTGGTTTTGTTCGTTCGTTGGCTGGTTCATTGTTGTCGTCGTCATCAGAGCATTGCACCGACCACCAGCTAAAATTTCTGAATGCCTGCTTCTTTGGCGGAGCAATAGTTTAGTGAAAAAACAACAACATGCTTATCATGGGCATTGTTGGTTGTTGGCAACTATCATCATCATCGTCGCCGTCGTTGTAGTTTTCGTTGTCGTCATCATCATCATCGCTAGTCAGTTTGCAGTTTGAAAATAGTTTTGTTCAATTTCTTTTGGCTGGCTGGCTGCCTTCAATCATTCTGTTGTTGGTTGGTAGTTGTTGCTCATTTTGGATTGTTTGGTTTTTAGTGGTGTAGCCATAAAACTAGCATGGAGGGGTGGGAATATGGCATATATCTATCTTTGTTTAAATTCAGGTAAATACATTTTTGAATGGATATAAGAAATCAACAGAAAATGTCGTCGTAGTTTACATTGTCGGGTAAAAGTTATCGAGAAATCAATTAAAAAACAAG